TAGAATTTAGAAACATGTCAATGTCAAGAATTATTTGCACTATATTTTACGTCCTGTGTATTTTTTTAATCTTAGTAATTCGTTTATTAATACTCCTTTTTCTTTATTTATAGGATAAAAAACGCTTTGACCGTTCTATCTACGATGATTTTGAAATACCAGGCAAATATTTAATAAGAAAGCAATGGACATTTACCGATCACGAAACGGTAAGGAATATTTTTATTCACTGAAATTACAAACATTATTTTCTAATTTTCGTTTCTTATAGCATTTTAGAGGATATAAAGATAGAAAAAAAAATAATTGCTATATAGAGAAACTAGAAGACAATACCCCTGGAATTGAAATTGCACAGCAAAAGCAAACATCAAAAATTCTTTATACGCCAAACGAATTTTTGACAAAATTTGAGGTAACACCAGATAAATATGTTTGACTATTATCATTAAATTACTTGTATAACACAAAAAATAATTTATTTTCTGTAGGCATGGCAAATTGCAGGAGGTAGAATTGTTGATTTCTGTAATGGACGGAAAATTATTTTACTACAAAAATCTATTCCAATAATCGACCAAACGACAGATCCTTTTTTCAATATTCTTCCTCTCGACGAAAATGATATTGTCACAAGAAGAGTAGCTGATATACTTCTAACACCATTAATAAGTCGAGCTAAGAGACAAATTGCGCTTGAAGAAAGGCAAAAGCTTAATAAAAACTTTAAACAACAAGATCGTTTGCGTCGTCAAGTACAACTATCTCCAGGAAAATTTCGAGGACAAACACAGTCTCAATATTTAAATATTGGTAACAATGAACAAAAAGAAGGCAAAGCCGAAGCTGAAGCTACTCAGCAATCTTCTCGCGCAGTTGTTAGTGCGTATTTAAGAAAATATTGTTATACAATGCAATAAATATATTATAATGCAATATGTATTAATAATTAATTATACGATACAATATTTATATATATATATAAATTATATTATTGTATTAATTATAATATATTTTTAGCTGGAAGCTATGGTATGGGACAAGCACAAAGTATGTCATTAGGTAGTATCGGATGTGAAGATTGTTCAAAATATACTGATGAAAATGTTCCAGATAAATACATTCAATTACCAGGTATTGTAAATGCTGCTATAAAAAAAAATACAGCATAATGAATGAAACACATAAACTATATCAACAATTTTTCAGCAGTTAAACAACCAAGTGATACTACTAGATATCCTGGTGTGATTACTTCTGAAATGGATACAACTTATCCTAGTAGAATACTTCCTAGCACGGTTCGAGATCAAATGTCTCATCTAGGTACTGTACCTAGTATTATTAGTGGTACAATTCCTGGAAGTATATCTGGTACTACAACTGATGGTAGAATAATCCATCCTGGTGGTATACCTAGTATCACAACTGGTGGAACTACATCTTATCCTGCAGGTATACCAGGTAGTGTAACTAGAGGAACTGTATTATATTCTAATAGTTCACCTCATATTATAACTGATATTACTTACCCTGAAGGTACTAGAAAAGGTGTAGCTTATCCTGCAGTTGTACCTGGAGGTATACCTGAAAGTGTACGTGGAGGTGCACCTGATTCTGCAAGAGGTGGTGATATAGCTTACCCTGGAGGTATACCTAGTACTACAACAAGTGGTGATGCAATTTACCCTGGAAGTATACCTGCTATAACTGGTAGTGGTACAGTTTACCCTGGAAATGTAGTTGATACTACAACTGGTGCAGTTACTAATGGTGCAATTTATCCTGGAAGCATACCAGGTGGTGGTATGACTTACCCTGGAGGTATACCTGGTACAACAGGTGGTGATGTAACTTATCCTACAGGTGCATCTGGTACTACAATTGGTAGTGGTACAGTTTATCCTGGAAGCATACCTGGTACTACAACTGGTGGTAGTGTAGTTTACCCTGCAGGTGTACCTAATATTGCAACTGGTACAGTTTATCCTGGAAATATACCTGGTACTACAACTGGCAGTGATGCAGTTTACCCTGGAAGTATATCTGGTATTACAACAGCTGGTGGTGTAGCTTATCCTGGAAATGTTCATGGGATTACAACTGGTGGTGTTGCTTATCCTGGAGGTATACCTGGTACAACAACAGGTGGTGGTGTAACTTACCCTACAGGTGTATCTAGTACTGCAACTGGTAGTGGTACAGTTTACACTGGAAGTATTCCTGGAACTATAACTGGTAGTGGTATAGTGTACCCAGGGCATGTACCTGTAACTGATGGTGGTATAGTTCACCCTGCAGACACTGTAATTAATAGTGCTACAAGTCAACCAAAAAGTGTACCTGGTATTACAACTGGTGGAATTATTAGTTATCCAGTAGGGTTACCTGGAGGTGCTGTTTACCCTAGTAGAGTTGGTACTGTACCAGATACGAGAGAATTTATTTCTGGTCAAATTATAACAAATTCAAAAGTAATTGCAGATGCTAAAGTGTATCCCAATGGGCAAATTCCTACACAATTTTTTGGTGAGAGAACTTATCCTACCAGCACAAGAAGTGATACATATCATAATATTGGTACTTTTCCTGTAGATAATACAGGCGCTTATTATGGTGGTATTTCATCACCAGAAAATCAATTAAGGGGGACTATCCATTATCCACAAAAACTAATATTAGATAAAGAAACTGATAGAGTTATTATACCTGGACCATCTATCACAGTTCCAACTGGTGATATTACTTACTCTAGAAATACTGTACCAGGAAGAAATAATCTTGATGGCATAAGAGACGTTTTTCAAGGAAGTACATTGCAAGGACAATATCCTGGTACTTCAAGATGGCAAGAAAAAGGAACTTCAACTTCAGATCTTACAGGACAAAAAATTGGACAATATCCAACTGAAGGACAAACTATCAGACAATATCCTGGTATACAATATCCATCCAATATAAGATCTATATCAAATATTGGAGAAGGTCCTCAATATTACCAACAATCAGGAAGCCTTTTGCCTACAGAAAATGATAACTCTAATTCTCAAGCATCTAGTTCTGTAAAACAAACAGATTCAGGCACGCAGGCAAGTGCATCAGCTCAAGGAAAATTTGGACAAGGTACAGCTCAATCTCAGATAACAGGTAGTTATACTGGTTCTGGATCATTCTCAGCCCAAGCTGGTAGTACTGATACTAATAAAAGTGCGCAAACAGAAATTAATGGTGGTAAAGAAAGTGCGGTAAGCAATGCTCAAGGAATTGGTGGTTATGGAAAGAGTCAAGCACAAGTTCAATTAAACTCAGAATTAGGTGCTACAACAACAGGTGCACAAAGCAGTGGTTGGAATCATGGTACAAATTCTCAAGTACAAGCAAGTTCGAAAGGTGGAATGGCAGATGCTCAAGCAAATGGTGAGGGAAGTACTTCGAGTCAAGCTCAAATTGGTTTTCAGCCATATCTTAAGACAGATGAAAAAGTTGAAAAATATTTGAAACCATTCCACGGTGGTGGAACAGCCTCTGCTCAAAGTGGAGCATATACTGGGCAATCCCAATCTCAACTTGAAGGATCTTTTCAATATGGAATTACGTACACTGGTGCTGCACAAGCGGGATCAGGATCTGGTGCAACAGCTTCTAGAAAGCCATTCAACTTCAATTTTACAGATACTGAGTTTAAGCCATTTAAACAATCTTATGGAACACAAATTGTACAAAAGAATAATAGCGAAGAAACAAATATATCTTCGAATACAGGTAATGAATATAATCAGTCTCAACAAGGTTTACAAACGAGTTCTAGTTCCCAAAGAAGAATTTTTACCAAGCCAACAGATGACAATTCGCAAAACATGACTAATAAATCAGATCAATCTGTTGAAAAGTCTCAATTGGATGATACAGCATATGATTATGAAGAAGAATATAATAGCGAAGATTATGATATGTCATCATTTCAAACTTCAATAAATCCGAAGATTTCAAAAATTTATGCTGCAGAACAAAATAATAGTAATTATCAATCACAAACATTACATGTTGCAACTGGAAATCAATATGATACTCATGTGAAACAAGATACAAATGCACCACAAGTTGGTGATATCCTGCAATCTGGACAATCATTATCAGGATATACTATACCACCTGGTTTTCGGGGTAGAGTAATATCTGCAGCTGGTGGTGAAACTATTGCTCATGGTGATGGAAAGTCTCAATCTCAAACAGTTTCTTTAGTTCCAAAGGAACCAAGTATGACTAACGAAAACAAATCACCCATCTCAGAAATTAGATCTCTTAAAACTAGCCATGAAAGATTAATAAAAAGTCAAGCTGCATCTGAAGAAAAACAAAAAAATAATTTTCCACAAATCCAAAATCGAACTTCAAAAGAATATGCAAAATCTATTTCTAATATACCAATGAAACCAAATTATTATACAGTAACAAACAGTATTACTGGTAAACTGGATGGTAGAAATTCACCAAGAAAATATGAACATCGCTATTACACTAAAAGTTCAACTTGTGGATATTTCACATTCTCTTGTAATATTGTATATGGTTCTAATGGTAGAACAAAAATTTGTAAACCAAAAATGCCGACATATTCCGACGGAACTCCCATAAAATGTTAGATGGTGATATTAATTTTGGAACCTTTCTTTATTGTTTAAAAAAACTTAGTTTTATTCATAGATTATTTTATACTTTACTAATATTAGATATATTTTTTTATTATAATGTAGATTATTTTTGTTTATCTTTGTATTAATATTTACGACCGTTCATACATCTTATGAATGTAATCACATTTGTTTAATGTTTGTTTTACATATACATACTACATATCATTTTTATTGAGGTACTTGTACTGAGTGTACATTATCAATTTAATGCTACATTAAATTTTAGTATCTATCTTCTTTTATGAATAAAATATATATTAAACAAATAAAAGATTTCCAATTTCTCTTCACTTTTAGATATGAATTACATCAGTTAATAAATATATATGACCATAATGAATTTTTTAAATTCATTAGAGTCAGATGTAAATTTAAATAATTTTTCTACTTAAAGTTAATACATTAACTTTTCTATAATATAGATACATTCACGATTTTTTAGACCTTACTTTACATACAGCGCAAAAATTATAAATATAAATATCAGATATCATACATGGTACAGAAAATTTCTCATTATTTAACTTCACCAGTTTTTAGATAAGTGGCAAAGTTTGAAATTACATATGATTATGTTATATACATTTATATACATAAAATAAAAATATTTGAAACATATTGGAATGTGAGTTTTTACAAATAAGAAATATTTAACATATCCACAAAAATTTTTATAACAAAAAACATTACAAAACATATACAGCTATATACACAATTATATATAAAATTAATAAAAAAAGCAAATTACAATACAAACTTAAAAAAATAGCGTAATTTAAATGATAATACAATACTGAAATAGGCAATGATATTCCATTATTTAAGCTTAATTATTAAATAAATTAGTTCTACTTATACATTTACCAGAATTTTTACAATTCAAAAATATTGCTACATTGACTTGTATACATTATGAAAAATGTAGGAAAAACTACTTTCCACATTCCAAGTTTTATCATTATTCAAATTAATTTAACACTATTATTAAGATGAATGAATACTAGGCTTGCTGTGGTTCATATTCTGAAATAATATTTATAAAATTTAATTAAATTTATTAAAGTGATACGAAAATCAATATATTGAACTTACCATTTGTTAATTTGTCATCATTAGCTATACATAATTTTTCTTCAAGATTTTCTCCTATTCCCACGTCTACAGGATAGGAATCGGTACTGATAACAAATTAATTGTCAATATGAATTCTATAATTTAATTTAAAAAATATAAATATAAATATAATATACATAATATAATAATAATACTATACACAACATAATAATAATACTATTATTATAAATATTGCTGCTATTTACCTATTTCGAAAATGTTCCAGTTGTACATTAGCTGACTCTAATTGTTCTAAAAGATCTTCATTTGTTCGTTGCAATTTACGAACATTATTAGTTGCAGTATCTAGTTCATCTTGAACTGCAGCTAATTCTTTTTTCAATTCCTCTACTCTTGCTCTAACTCTTTTTACTTCTGCTTCATATTGTTCTGATCTTCTCATAGCATGTGAAAGTTCTGTTGTTTTCTCTTCTAAAGATTTTTTCAATAATGTCTAACAATTATTTAATTAAATTAGTATAATTATATAAACATGTATATATAAACATATATTGTTTTCAAACTAAAATATTAATACATAGTACAAACCACATTTCTAACTAGAAATTCTTGATGTAATTGTCTTGTATCACTATCTGATGTGGAAACTGGACGTGATCGTCGAGACTCTATCCTTTCCTGCAAATCATTTAATTCATTACGAAGTTGCTTATTTTCACGTTCTAAAGAAATTTTTTCTGTCTCCAAACGTTCTCGTTTTCCCCATTCAGCTGCATTTTCTGCTTGAAGTTTCTCTAACTAAAAATCATAATTATATATTATTACAAACATATTAAAAGTTTTAAATATATTTTTATATTTATATTTATAAAATTTACTTCAGTTCTAAGTTCACATAGACGACGATTCATTCCTTCTCTACTTGAAGCTTCATCAACTATACCAGCTTGTACATCACTAAGCTCAAGTTGAAAGCGATCTTTCAATTCAAGCAGTTCTCTTGTAACGTCGGCTTTGCTTTCCTCTAATTCTTCATACTGTTTTCTTACTTGTATTATTTCTGTTTTTAATTTTTCCAAACCGCGATGTAAAGAATTTTTTTCTCTGTTATTAAAAATTTTAATTAATTCAGTGAATTAAATAATAAATAATAATTTTTACTATTTTATTAATAAATAATAATAATCTTACTCTCTTTCTACAGAAATAGTTTTTGTAGCTTCATCCAATTTATGTTGGAGTAATATTATTTTTTGTGCATACGATTCATCTGTACATGCTTGCAAATTGTTTTCTGTGTTATCTTCTACAGAATTAGAATCTGCTAATCTCACAATATCTTTGTCTAATGAATTAAGAGGACTTTCTTTATATAATTCTACAGCATGCTTTGGTACAGCACCTTGTAACACATATTCTTCAATATCTCTATCTGGTAAAATATTATGACTTCCTAAGCAAATATTAGATTCATCAAGTGAAACTTTACAAGTAAGTAAATTTTTTTTAGAATTTACACTTTCAGTTTGTTCAATATTATTGTAGAACTTCAATAATTCATCTATACCTAATGTATTTCTTAATTGTGGATCTGATTCTAAAACTGTAAAAATTTGTTGATCAAATTGTCCAGCATGTTTTAACAATATCATATGTATTTTTTCCATTTCTTTTTTTAATTGCTCATTTTGTAACTCAAGTTCTTGACATTCATGTTTATAACTATTAGCGTCTTTTACTGCTATTTCTAATTTTGCTCTAAGCATCTTTGCTTCTTCTCTTGCCATATTTCTTTCATTACGTACTTTACTCCATTTTTCTCGCCAGTTAGCAGTACAATCTGACCACCATCTCATTGTTTTTTCCATTTGTGCAGCTCTTGCTCTTGCTTCTTCAAGTTCTCTTTGTCGCAAAGCCTAAAAATGTTGTAAGTGAAAAGTTTATTGAACATTATCTTATTATTAAAATAAATGTAACTAATTATTGTTATTATTTGTACTAAAATACTTTTACGCTTTCATATTTATACAATTTATTTTTTATATAAAGTAACAAAAACAAATTATAACAATTCAAAGATAAAAGTAACAAATTTTAATTGTTACCTCTTTGGTTTCCCATTCACTATCCCCATATCGTGATGAAGATGATACATTAACATCGTGCTCTCTGATATATCGTCGAGAAGACGTTCCACTAGCTGTTGATTGTGCCATGGTAACCTAAATTACTATTCTTTCTATGAACGACTGTATCCTAAATGTGTATATTGCTTTTCGAGGTGAATTACTGCACATTTATAGATAATTCTCACATTTTATTTATACTTTAATTTACATCGTATTTAAGATACTAATAATCTAAATACAATTCTTGAATAATTTTGATCTTTATACATCACATATATTCATCTAAGCTGACATTTGTATTATACATAACATATGTACACATGTACATCTATAGATATTTTGTGAAAAAAAATAGAATAAATAGGTATATTCACATTTGGTTTAAATTGAATAAGAAATTGAAATCGAAATTGTAAAAGAAAAAAATAATACAAATTTCTTAAATACGACAAACAAAAAGTATCCAAAAGTAACCTAAAATAAAGATCTGTGTACATAATATAGTGAATGTAACATTGCTAAATTCATTGTAATACCGTAATGTAACAATATATGAACTGATCATTTTAGATTTAAAATATACAAAATACAAAATTATACATAAAACAAAAAACTTGATAAATTCAATTAAAAATGAAAAATATTTAGCAATGATTCTTTGTACATTATGAAGCAAATTTTAATTAAGAGATTTATTAAATCGTATAATATATTATAATTCTGTATTCATTTTTATGCAAAGATATCCCCCTACAAGGTGATAAAACAATAATGAATACTGCAAAAAATAGTTGTGAAATTGGAAATGGTTTAGATGATCTTGGGATTCCTGGACAAGGCTTTTTAAGAGATGCTTTAACAAGTTGTACAGATCCATTAAAAGCAATTGAAGAATTTCAATTAGAAAATGGTATTTTATTACCATCCTTACGTCCAATGTTACCTTTACTTGATCTTCATGGAGTAAGAAGATTAGATTTCCATGCCTCAGTTCTTGAAGAATTAAGGGAAAAATTAATAAAAAGAATCAATGAAATTGGAACAGAAAGAGCAGATAAAAGTTCTGCAGGTGATAGAAGATTGAAAGAATTATTATCTAAAAGTTTCCCAGCTGTAAGAGTTGCAGCACTAAGACCAATTGTAATGTGTATTCTAAGAAATACACCACACATAGAAGATAAATATTTACGAGTACTTGTTAGAGAAAAGGAATTATATAATGATGCAGATACTGAAGTTAAACGTCAAATTTGGAAAGATAATCAGAGTTTATTTGGAGATGAAGTTTCTCCATTGTTTAGTCGATATATCATTGAGAAAGAACAAATACTATTTGATCATCGAAACTTAAATAGTCTTTTTTTTATGCCTTCTCCCAAGGTGTGTTAGTTGTATAAATACATAAATATGTATATATGTATAAGAGAAAATTTTAAACTTATATAATTTATATATTTAGGTAAGAAGACAAGGTGAAGTAGTACAAAAACTAGCACATATGATTGGACATAGTGTAAAATTATATGACATGGTTTTACAATTTTTGAGAACTTTATTTTTACGTACAAAAAATATACATTATTGTACATTAAGAGCAGAACTATTAATGGCCTTACATGATTTAGAGGTGAGTTTACAATACATTAAATTATTTATATAATATTATATAAAATGAATATTATCTAAATGTTAAATATTTAGGTACAGGATATTATTTCTGTTGACCCATGTCATAAATTTACTTGGTGCCTTGATGCATGTATTAGAGAAAAAAATGTTGACATTAAAAGGTCTCGTGAATTACAAGGCTTTTTGGATAGTATTAAGGTATGTAATAAAACTAAATTTACGTTTAACAAAAGTATTTATTCATTTATTGATAGGAAAGTAAAATGATCTACAATTTTTTATAGAGAGGTCAAGAACAAGTACTAGGTGATCTAAGCATGATATTATGTGATCCATATGCAGTAAACTTTCTTGCTAGTAGTGCAATTAAAATTGCACTTCATTTGATAAATGGTGAAGCACTGCCTAGAGAAAATGCAGTTCTCGTACTATTACTCAGAATGCTTGCATTAGGTTTATCTGCTTGGCAAATGATTGATTCACAAGATTTTAAAGAACCAAAACTTGATAGCCAAGTTGTCACAAAATTTTTACCTGCTCTTATGTCTTTAATGGTAAATCTTTATGAACTGTAATAATAACATATAATTTTGACCAAATATGATAATTAGCAATTTATATTTTAGGTAGATGATCAAATAAGACAATTAAACTGTAAACTTCCACCTGATGAGAGAGAAAGTGCAATTGCTATAATAGAACATTCTGGTCCTCCTCCCGATGCTTGTCAAGCATATGCACAACTTTCAGGAGTTGCTGCAGTTTTATCTATGTATTATGCATTACATGTAGGAGGTGGTGGTGGAATTGGAAGAGGAAGAGGTGATGCTAGAGGTTTAATGAGAGTATTAGCTACTTTACCAAATTGTCAAGCACAACGTGCATTTGAAGATCCCTTTTTACACACTTTAGTGAGCATTGTTTATTTAAATCTTACAGAATCATTAATATAATATGTGTAATTATAAATGTATATAATTTTACAGATATCTTTATTAATATTAATGTTTCATATTACTATTAATTTTACAGGTATCTTTATTAATATTAAATATGGCTGATGAGTTTCCTAATGAATCATTCTGTACAGTTATTTTTGACGAATTTTTCTTAGCTGGATTAGGTAGAGATAATGTTACAAGACATTTATTAAAGTTACTTTGGTACATTCATTTAAAATTACCGCCGACTCGTCTTCATACGCTAATGAAAGCACTTCAACCAACTAGTCAGGTAATATACTTTTTTATTTAAAAAAAAATAAATTTACTATACCAGCTATGTACAACTTCATAAATATATTAATTTAAGCATAATGAAGCAGTACACAGTCTTTATGAAGCGTTACGTGATAAAATTGGAAATCGTTCCACAGAAGATCAATTAACAACTACAACACAAATAGATACATTAGGACTTGAATGTCCATCCTCTCCTCTTACTGGTGTACCTACACCAACTTCATTGTAAATATAATGTTTTGTAAAATATAATCAAGTAATTTTACTTACAATAAAAAAAATTTTATATATCTTTGTTTCACTTATATTAATCAATAAATATAACAATATATATTTTTAACATAATACATAATATTCAAAAAATACAGATATACATAATTTAAGCTACATTTATAATATTGTCTATGTCTGATATATCCATATTAATTAATTCCATTACTAATCTGTCTAAATAATTTGAATCTAACTTATATGACATTAAAATCATTGAAATATACATTCTTGCTTGTTTGGTTGACAATACAAATTTTAACTCTGGATCTATCATACTTAACCTACATAAAATGTATTAAAACATTAGTACTTTCATAATAGTTATATATTTACATAAAGCAATACTTACATTTTAATGATAATAAGGCCCACAAGAGTCCATTCAGCTGTTTTAAAAATAACATTTGCAGCAGATAATGAAAAAGTATTAACTAATGCTTTAATTACAGTATTCTTTGCATTGTTATATGTGTATTGTGGTAATTTATTAGCAACTAAAGCACAGAGTAAATCAGGTAATCTATAATTTAAAAAAAAAACAAAGTATGAGTATTTATATTATAAATTAAGATTATTAAAAAAACATAAAAAATCATATTACATTCTATTAAGTTTGTCTAAAAATATTCTACGACGAAGTATTTTAGGTGCATGTGCATCTGTTAAAGGTAATATTGGACTAAAATCATTACTCTGATGAGCAACTTCTGTAACATTTTTATGATTTTCTCTAATCATACTTCCTTTATAAAATGCCCGAACCTAAAAATAATATTTACATTAAAAGTTAGTTATTTTTTAAGTTAAATTGTACTAACTTTTAATTCTACTTTTTCTCCTTCTTCTCGAAGAACAGATAAATGAGGTAATGGTTTTAAAGTATTTGTTGTTAAATCTAAACGATCATATTTTTCATCTTCTAATTGCAATTTATTTAATTTCTTACACAGATGTAAATATCTGTCATGCTGAGCTATATTTTCTAACAATTGGTTTTTAATACGTTTTTCTCCTGATAATAAAGATACAGTATCTTCAGTAATCCATTTCCTTATATTGTGTTCAATATGAATTGCAAGATTATAAAATTTATTTGATTGATTTTCTTTGACATTTATTTGTTCATACTTATTTTTCTTTTGTTTTACTTTTTGTATAGAATCTTTATTACTAATAATAATATTTTTTTTTATAATAGTTGTATTATACTTTATTCCTGATGTTTCCAATAATTCATTCTGTTCTTCATTTTCTATATTTTGACATTTATCTTCATTGAAAAGTACATCATTATTTACATTTGTAGTATTTTGAATTACTATACAATTTTGTAAGGTATTATCTTTTAAGATACATATTTTTTTAATATTATCATTTATAGAATTCCCAATAGTACTATCTTTATTTTCTGAATTAATAGATGATTTTTTCACATCAACAGATTCCTCATCATTATTTTTTGAAAATTCTTTTAAAATATCACATTTTTCAATAATATTATTTGTTTGTATATTTTCATTATCTGCTTGAGATATTTTTGCTACATACTCATCATGTGTAATAGCTTCTGAAGATTTACTGAGAAGTATACTCTCTAACTTTTTGCATATTTTATTATCTTTTATATGTTCATCTGTATTTTCAGCATTTAATGCCATTTTTATATCGCTCACATGAATTTCATCTCCAAGTATATTTTCTTTTAATTCATTTTTGTTTGATAGTATTCTAAATTCTAGTATTTCTTCTTTATCTCTTAACCACAGAGGACTTGTGAACATTTGTTTTAAAAGGTAATTAGAAGCTCCATAACAATGTGAACTACAAAAATTTTTACGTCGTGTTATATCATAAACCTTGTTTTTTTTTGTTGATATATGATACTGTTGATCAATTCTTATTGTTAATGCATTATTACATAGCACATAACCACATAATTTAATTATAGCCCTTTCTTCAATTACATCTTCCATATGATGTTTGTTAATGTACTTCAACTATAAAAATTGATAACTATTTAAAGTAAATGTCAAATTATTTGAATGTTTAAAATTATACTTACATTAGATAAAAGCCATTCAGAATCTATTTTTGGTTCTAAAAGCTGTTCGACAATTTTGAGAGCTTTAGCATCACATTCTTTCTTTTTAATTATTGCTAATTGAATTTGTGCTTTACTTGAATAAAAATGTAATAAATTAAATAATGTATATCATATTTAGATCATATTTAAAATATACAAATTTAAAATATAAATTTTATGCAAAATTTGTCTCACCTCATTTTCTTTTTTACTTTTTTTCTTTCAAATGTTCCTGTTTTAATAGTGGATGCTTCCATTTTTAAATAATTATTTTCATAGAAACTACATCAATCATAATCCACTCTTGTATACTAATATTAAATATGTCATATAGGAAGAAAAGATATGTCTAAAAAAGTAGTTTTTTATAGGAATATAATTAAACATAATAAAATAACCAAATTATATTAAAATCAAGTTATAAATCAAATAAAGTTTAACATTTTTACATATTGCTATTTATATTGATTATTTATATTATTAAGTATTATTACTATTTTTTATTTCATGTACTAATCAATATGATTAAGTAAAAATTTATAATTTTATCATTATCTTGAAAGATATTTTAGCAAATATATGTATCTATCTTTTTAGTAAAATGATGAAATTACTAAAATTGGCCAACCTGTCTATACAATTAATTAAAGTCTAAATAAATTTAATTGTTTTCATAATCGTGTACGATTCTAAAATAAAAAAATTAAATTCACATATATTTTATGATAAGATACACAGAAAAATTTATTGAAACGATGTAAATGCCAGTAATACAAAATATACGAAAATATAATAAATTTTAATTCGAACGAATGTTAACGCTCTCTGGTGACGATTTAAGAAAACTCACAACCGGCTGCTTGTAGAAGTAGAAGTCTACCGAAGTAGATGGAAAAAGAGAGATCAGTAGAATATGACTGGCTGTGTGGTGTGATCTTGAAGTAGTGTTACGTTTTCAGTATTATCTTGTTGTGCTCGCCATGACGTTGGTTTGAAATTGTATCTCAAAATATTAATCCCGATGTTGGTCGCAGGACTGTGCCAATGTAGTTTTCATGCTTTTAACGAGGAGAGAATCCGGGGAGGCAATTCGTGGATACCGAAGAAAGCTTCAAACACGTTTGAAGCTTTCGAGGTCGTATTCATGGAACTATGAACCTGGACTCGTTGTCTTTTACTTTGTCACAGATCAGTTATTTGGTTGCCACATTAAATAAGAAAAATTTTCGAGACAGCTGCCAAGAAATATCAGTTGTAAGTAGAAAAAAACCTGTTGTACTGTTACATCTTTTATGCCCACCCCTTCCACCTTCTGTTCATCACACGCCGTCCTCGAAACAGCGCAATATGCTTCGCGAATATTACAAATTTGATCTAATTTTGTTCATTAAAACAAACGCTTTTATTGAACAAACATAAACGTGCATTTATAAACATATTAATAGATTTGTTTTATAATTATCAGCAATTGAATATTCACGCGGCATAAAATACATCTTGAACTTAGCCTCTTTTCGTAATTTGTATGTGTTCTAACGTATTATTTCGAACGATGAAACTCTGTATATTTTTCAACGCTCGTTTTTAAAATGCTAGAATATTTCAATTATATAATAGTTGTAAAATACCTATTTTGTTCAAAGTTATTTTGAAATGTACTATTGTCTTTTATTTTTATTACTGAATACATAATAATGTTGTAAAGGTCATGTGTAATATATTTATATTTACGTACGTATTTTATGTATTATAGTTCATTATACTAATATTTGTCGTTTATTATTATAGCTGGTACAGTGGAAGGGTTTGGAGGCAGACAGACATTTGCTGCGCTCTTTACTCTCGTGCATTGACTTTTCCACAGGAGAACCACCAGAATCAAGTGCGAAAGATTACTTTCAAGTGCAACTTTTAAAACAGGAGTGTACTAATCTTCTTAGCAAACCTTCTTTCATTTCTAATCTGTGCTTTGCTATAGACCATCCATTTCATCAACAAAAGGTTTATTTTATTTTTTATTTAGGTTAAGATTACTAAAATTGGTGTGTGTGTGTGTATATATATACATATATACATATATATATGTACACATGTAGGTTGATATACATTAAATGTTATTTTATGTTACATATCTTTTTAAAACAAACACTTTTTGTTAATTTTAATTTTATATTTCAGACTTTGAATCCATCATCAAAGTTTTTTTTACGTTTAAAAAAGGTGCTTGGCTTAACTCTGGTACAAGAAGTTGCATTTGCGATTGCATTACTGCATTCTGAGAATATTGAAATTCGTACATTAGCTCTAGAACACGTACAAAAACAACTGCCTGAACTAATAAAGAATTATATTAATTCTGAAACGAGCAATAGGCATCACGAAGAAGGCTTACACGATTCATTGCCTGAAGTTCTTCATCTTATATTGTCTCAAGCTTTCCATTCAGCCAATCAATTTGGCCTTTCATCCGAAGCAAAAGAAAAATTTCTCAAGAATTTAAGGCGCGATTTTCCCCGTGAGGTGGTACCAGTGGTGCTAGCACCACTTTTGTACCCAGACAACGGGGAAACTCCGCAAGCCAAAATTGAATTAAACATGGCTGTTAATCAAATGGTAATATATATAGAAAAATAGTAATTTATATATTGTGTATGTATATTATATTGTATATTAAAAGCCTTTTAATACATGTAACATTTACATTATAGGATGGTAATTCTCTAGTAGAATTGATTATGGAATTAGGATATGGATTTACTAGCAGTGTTGAAGAATGTCGGTCGGCTTTAGCTGGTTTAGGAGCTCGAGAAATATCTCCAGCCTGTGCAGCAAGAGTTCTAGCTCATATGGCACGTAGTTGTAATAGTCTTGATGATGCTGGAGGATTACAATCATTTTGGGGTAATGCAGGAGCTACACAAGATGCAAATAAAGAAAAATCAAATGATAATGTTTCTCCTACTACATGGAATGTTGAAGTTTTTGTTCAGGCTTTAAAAGAAATTGTAAGCATTGATAACTAGTGTCTAACAACTTCATATATTAAATTAAGTACTAAATTTTATTGTTAATTGCAGCAATCAACGTTATCTTGGAACGAAGTAATAGTTAAATTAGATCATACAGAATTTGTCATCAAAGATAGACAAGGGTTAAATTTATTGATCACAGGATTAAGGTTAGGATTGCAACATCAAGGATATCCTCCAGATATGTTTCCTGTAGAACTTTTTTATCGTCATTGGGATAATATAGAAGGACAGTTTTCTTTAGTGCAACAAATTTTAAAGTGCCCTGATATATTTTGCTTTGCTGATTATCCATATCATTCTGTAACTGTTGATGTATTGAAAGCAGCACCAGAAAGTGATAGTAAAGAAGCACAAACTTGGAGATCGTTAAATGTAGTAGAATTACTTTTACATATGGCAGAAAGAGGACTATATGGACCAGTTCAAGAAATATTTAAATGGCCGATTCAACACTGCCCTGATGTACTTGTATTAGCATTATTACAAATCAGTGCTCCTATTACTATACTCAGACAAGAATTACTTAGTACATTAATGCCTATTTTTCTTGGAAATCATCCAAACTCGGCTGTTATTCTGCATCATGCATGGCATGGAAATACAGTTAAAATAAAATCTATTATTATGCATGCTATGGCAGAATGGTATATACGTGGAGATCATGATCAAACAAGACTATCTCGTATTCTTGATGTTGCTCAAGATCTCAAAGCATTAACTCATTTATTAACTGCTCAATCATATCCATTTGTTATTGACTTAGCCTGTTTGGCTTCAAGAAGAGAATATCTAAAATTAGAAAAATGGTTGACTGATAAAATCAGAGAACAAGGAGAAGTTTTTGTCACTGCTTGTGTAAAGTTTTTGCAAAGACGTTGTCCTCAAGTAATGGGACCTGGTATTAAGGAAGATCTTACAGTACCAAAAGCAAGTCAACTCCCACAAGAAACACTGACAACAATGCTTGCTTGTTTGCAAGTATGTGCTGGGTAGGTTCATTATTTTCATTTTAAATATTTTTAATGTAAATAATATTTCTTTATTATTAAATCTTTTTTTTTTTAACAGAAGTGTATCCCAAGAATGTTCAGAGGCAATAATGACAATGGTACAAAACTGTAGTCTAATGTTGAGTAAAAATACAATGAGTAGACCTCCACCACCAGGAGTTTTACGACATCGTGGATTGGAACCTTTTAATCCAGCAACTTTGGGAGGACAGGTATTGAAAATAATATAATTTCTTATATTTATTTGTACACTAAAATATGTCTTTTTTAATTTTGTAGCTATTTTCTTCAAAACAAGTAGATCCACTTGGAAATTTAAGTTCAAGTCTTGCATCCATGGGTTTGGGTTCTAGTCTTGGTCCACCAAGTAGTTCTGCATTTAATTTACCAGGTGCACTTGGACCTTTAGTATCAGCACCTGGTTCTCCTTCTCGTCTCATGGGACCTTCTCCAAGTCCATTTCCAATGTTACCATTATCTTCACAGTTACATTCAGGACCAGTTGGTACACAAGGGCCATCTGTTTTACCTGGAAGTACAACAATCGGAGGATTAGGACGACTTGGACCACCAACAGGCATTGAAAAAGCAAGAATACCTGAAACATCGAATTTATTTCCGGATATGGCACAAAACGTTTCCAAAGAAATTGAAGATGAAGCAAATAGTTACTTTCAGCGTATATATAATCATCCGCCACATCCTACATTATCCATCGATGAAGTTCTTGATATGTTAAAAAAATTTCAAGATTCTGGTAGTAAAAGAGAGAGAGAAGTATTCAACTGTATGTTGCGAAACTTATTTGAGGAATACCGATTTTTCCCTCAATACCCAGATAAAGAATTGCAAATTACGGCACAATTATTCGGAGGAATTATTGAAAGAGGATTAATTAATAGTTACATGACGCTTGGATTAGCTTTGAGATTTGTATTGGATGCACTAAGGAAACCAGAAGGCAGCAAGATGTATTACTTTGGCATAACAGCTCTGGATCGATTCAAGAGTCGTTTAAAAGACTACCAAACATATTGTGAGCACGTCAGGGCAATTCAACATTTTAGTGAGTTCCCACCACATTTAATTGAGTATATAGAATATGGATTACAGGGGCAGGAGCCTCCCACAAGACCTCAAGGTCCAGTCCTCCCAAAAACTTTAGCAGCTATGCTGGCACCAGTTACTACACCATATAAAACTATTACAACAACAACAATAACGACAAGTACTACTCAAGCGAAATCATCCACGA